CGCCCAGCAGAGCCTCCTCCTCGCGCGGCCGAAAGCGCAGCACCGGCTCGCGGCCATCCAGGTAGGCGGCCAGCGCCTCGCCACGTTCCTGCAAGCCGCGGCCACACAGGCGACAGGAAAAGGCCCAGCCGGGGCCGGGCGGCGTGGCTCCGGGGCGCGCGGGCAGCCAGGGCGGCCGCGCAGGGGCCGAACCCCCAGAGCGCGGGTCCTTGTACATGAACAGGAAATGCTCGCCCAGCCCCAGCAGGTCACCCGGGTGCAGCTCGGCCTCCCGCAGCAGGAGGCAGCCGTTGTGCGTGACCGGGGCACCCCGGGATGGGCGCACCATGGCTGGGGGCTCCGGGCCGGCGCGCACGGTGCAGTGACGCGGCAGGATGTCGGGGGCGTTGAGGAAGGTGTCCACGTACGGGGTCGGGGACCCTCCGCGGGCCGACGAGGTGCCGCCGCGGCCGAACACGTGCTGCTCACGCGTCATCACGTACACCACGAAGTCCTGACGGCAAAGTGAAGCTGTCCTGAGCACGCAGCTTCCAAGGAGATGCCTGGCTCGCAATGCCCGCTTCTCCTCCCCTACCTGGTGGGAATGGACACCTCCACACCTCCGGGCAGACCCTTAGGGCCACTAAAGGACTCTCTTCACACCTCGGACAAGGGGAGTTCACCCGGCTTCTGCCTGTGGCCACCGCCGCTCTGATGGACTCTGCCACTTTCCATTGAACAGTCTTCCAATCTTTTTTTTTTCCCCCTACAGTGGCCTGTCCCCTAACGGTCAGCCCAAGCACTGGCCAGGCACAAGGACACTCCCGTTACTAAAATGGACTGCCCCATGAGCCTCCCCCTCACAGTTCTCCAGCCTCTGCCCTCCAGGCCCCACTTCTGTCTATTCCACACCCACGCCAGAGGCTCTCCTGCCTTGTCCCTGCCAACAGTGGTGTCTCTCAGTACCCCCAATAGTCTCCATTAGATTACCTTTTGTTTCTATGCACAGACACGTCTGACGGCCCCTGTCCCGTGTCTGGCTTCCTGATACTCAACTAAGTTCCCTTGTTATTCAGACAGAACTGCCAGTAGCACCTGCTTCCAGGACAGTGTTTGGGTTGCCCCAGGGTAAACCATCACCTTTTTTGAGTGTGTGAGTCCATGCCTACCCACCAAGACAAGCTAGGGTTGTTCAGGTACATATAATGGCAGTGGCTCCCCCTCCCCCGAATATCCATGCTCCCATTTCTCTCCCTTTAAGACATGACGCTTGCAAAGGATCTTCCTACAGCAAATTTTAAAGAATGTTTTCTCCCAGGAAGCACAAATCCTTCCAGGGCAAGGCCAACCTTGCCCTCCTCAAATCTCTTAACCATGATTTAAAGAAAAAAAAATCTACTCTGTCTTGCTGGGACTACACCTCCCAGGCTGCCTGGAGGACACTGAGACCCAAGGCATTCTGGGAGTTGTAGTTTTGTCGTCATTCACTAGCCCTCCTGGGGAGAAACCAAGGGCTCTGCTGCTAAGGAAGGAAGCTCCTCACCTGAGCATCCTGGTAGCCCTGAAGCAGCAGGAAGTAGGGGCGGTTGTTGGGGGCCTGGATGAGGCACTGCGTCAATTGGTCAAAATCTCCAGGGTCTGCTGGCCCGATCTGGGCATCGGCTGCCCCTGGAGCCATGCTAAGCGCCTGCTGCCTGCGCTCCTGCTGCCGCCGCCGCCGCCCCTGCAGGCTAAGCTCCGACACGCTGCGTCGCAAAGATAAGTTTTCCGAGCGCTCCTTGCCTCCGGACCCAGTTGAGGGTCCCGATCCCGACCCTGGGCCAGGACTGGCCAGGGCCGCCCCACCCGACGCAGCCCGGGAGCGGTTCTTCTGTGGTCGCCATGAGGGGGCACCAGTGCCTGGGGAGAGACAGACAGGGAGGCTGAGCCTGGGCGTGCTGGGAATCAAGGAGGTCCCTGCACTATGTCACTGGGGAAAATTCTAGAGACCCAACCCAACACAGACCCCAGTACCTATTAGGAAATGAACTGACAAATGAGTTTTTCCCCCAGGCTTAGGGCACCCTCGCCAGTCCACGTACCCCACTGTCTTACCCAGGGTCCTAAAACTAAATGTGTGCCTTATAGTAGTTCACTCAATGAATACTTTTTTTTCCCCCCAGTGGCAGGTTGCGGGATCAGAATCCAAGCCTGCTTGCTGAACTTGTTAGTGTCACTGCCACTAAAACCTCTCCCTTCTCCCACCTCTGCTCTGGGGGTTCGGGCACAGGAGAAGTGGGGGAGAGCTGGCTCTCCCACAGCCTGCCACCCTGCCACGCTACCTCCTACACTTGCTGCTTTCCCCTCTCTGCCAGGCCAGGCCTTCTCAGGGACCAGGCCCCCAGGCAGCAGCCTCTTCCACTCCCAGGCGCCAGGTGTGGCCACCAAGCCAGCCTAAGGTCCCTCATTGAGGCTGGCCCCTCTGTGGCCACTCCAAGGCCTTTCAGAACCCCGGATTTGGCCCCGCCCCTGGCATCACAAGCCCCTCCCACGGGCTCTGCACAGCCGCCCCTTCCCGTGGCAGGACAACGTCCATCAATCAGGCCCTGGTTCTGACTGCCTTGCTGGGCCCCTCTCCTCAATGCACTTAACCTCCTTCCAAACTGACTCGCATACAGGAAACCCCGCCCCTGATCTGAAGCCTCGCTGGGACCCCCCGCATCCCAGGACCCCCACGCCTCCAACCAGGCTCCCCAAACCCTGAGCGCTGGACCACCAGCTCCCTCCCAATCCTCCACTTGGGCCCTGACCCAGTTCCGCCCTCCACCTGAAGCAGCCTTCCCATGGACCCCGCCCCCAGCCCGGAGCCGGCAGCAAAGCCCCGCCCACCTGTTCCTGCCCGGCAGCGCAGGCCCCGCCCTCCCAGCCGCATGCTCCGCCCCTCACCCACCTGCTCCGCCCCAGCCCATTGCTGCCGGGCAGCACAAGCCCCGCCCCGCCCGCCAGCCCCGCCCTCTCATCCACAAGCCCCGCCCCGGCCCCGCCCCTCACCGTCGCCGTCCGCCGCCCCGAAGGCCTCCTGCTCCAGCCGACGCGCCTCCTCGCGGCCGCGCAGCTCGAAGCGCCGCGCCCAGCCCGGCCGCGCCCGCCACAGCTCCTGCACGAGCAGCGGGCGCTCCGAGTCTCCCAGCACGCGCAGGTGCTCGGCCCGCCACTCGCCGCTGCCCACGCCCGCCGGTGCGGGCCGGCCGAGCGCGTCGCACAGCGCGAAGGCGTCCACGCAGCTGCTCTCTCCGGGGCCGCCGCCGGGGCTGCCCGCCAGCCCGTAGCGCTCCAGCGCCTCGGCCACCAGCTCGCGCGCCGTGGAGCGCGCCGTGGCCAGCACGCTCTTGTAGTTGGCGCCAGACGCCAGCCCCGCGCCGAAGATCTTGAGGACCCCCGGGGGCGCCGTGGCGCGCGTGGCCAGCGGGGGCTCGGGGGCGACGCCCGCCGCCAGCTCGGGCAGCTTCTTCTCGCTGGCCCAGCGCTGCGCGCCCCCGGGAGTGCCGGGGCCCCCAGCGCCGCCGCCGCCGGACCCCGTGTTCCCGGTGCCCGAGCCCCGGAAGAGCTGGGAGATGCGCTTGGCGCGGCTCCCCGAAGCGCCCCCGGCCGCCTTCACTGCGCCCACCCGCCGCAGCTCCACGTGCGGCGGCGGCGGGGGGATTGGCTCGCTGCTGCGGCTCCCCGTGTCGGAAGACGAAGACCTGGACATGCAGAGCGGGCGAGGCGGGCAGAGACGAGGGGGGCAGGAGCAGAGAGGGGAAATAAGTAAATAAAAGGGGCCAGCAGGAGGAAATCCTAAGAGATGGGAGCCCGGGGAGGAAGGAAAGTGGAACCACGTCCCTCATCCCGTGCCCATCCGGCCTCACACGGGCTCCCGCGCCCGTCAGCCCACTCGCCCAGGCGGGACAGGAACCCGAGGGGACAGGAACCTTGCTAGGTCCCGGCCTGACCGAAGGCAAGGGCAGGGTCACCAGCGACGGGGATGGAGGGAACGCAGGGCCCCAGGCTGTGGGGAGGGACAGGAGGCCGGTGGGGACAGGTGATGGGGAGGAACAGGGCACAGATGGGGGCAGATGTCAGGTTTCCAGGTGGTGGAGAGAGACAGGAGGCCGGTTGGGGACAGGCACAGGGTCCCAGGCAATGGGGAGGAACAGGGCGCAGATGGGGGCAGGCATGAGGTCCCAGGCAGGGTCTCCCTCCCACCCACCACCTTCACCCACCCGCAGGTGCCACTCACTTGACCGAGGCCGCGCTGGGCCAGCGCCGCCCCAGCTTGGCCAGCTGCTTCCTGGGGGAGTTGATCCACAGGCCCACGGGCAGATGGAGTTTCCCGAAGCGCGGGCTCCCGCCCTCCTTCCGTTCACCAGACAGCATGGCCCTGAGGAACAGGGTAAGGCCCCCCAAAAAAACGCTGAGAGAGAAGAAGAGATGGCCAGGACTCCTGGGTCAGGACTCCAAGGCCCCCCGCAGCAGCCGGATGGGGTCAGGACTCCAAGGCCCCCCGCAGCAGCCGGATGGGGCCAGGGGTGCCAGGTTCTGGGACTAGGGGTACGAGCCGGGCTTGACTCCGGGGTCCTTGGGGTTCTCACCCTGCGTCGGGTCCGGCAGCCCCGGGAGACCCTGGCTCCGCCGGCCTGGGCAGGTTCCTGATCCCTCCGCTCTTGTAAAGCCGTTGCCTCTGCCCCGGCTCCCAGCACTGGGTGGGGGACAGGAAAAGGCGAGAGGAAGGCCGGCAGGAAGAGCGGGGAGGGGGCGTCCTGTGAGGAGCTCCGGCCTGGGGGAGGAGACCTGCGCAGGGCTGGCCCGGCCTGTCCCTTGATGCTGGAATTGCACCACCATCCGCTAGGCCGGGCGAGGGCCCCGGGGGTCACAGTGCCCAGCCCCTCCTTGCACATCCCCACAGTCCCCCCTCTTGGGGAACCAGGGCCAGCAGCAGTCCAGAGGAGTGAGTCAGATACGTAGAAATCTTTATTAACTCTGTCAGTTAAACATTGACTCCGTCAGTCGGTGGTCTTCTGTGACATCTTGGAGGAAGAAGCTTTCTCTTCCAGGTCCAGGTGGGAGGACTGGGTCTTCGTGAGCCCCTTGCCCCGGCACAGCATCCTGGGGGAGCATGGGGTTAGGCAGTCCTGCAGAGAGGCGGCCCTTCCCGTCGCCCCCCAAACTGTTCCTCTTCTAGCAATTGTCCCAGTCTCTAGAGGAGACCCGGCCCAGGGGAAAGTTCCACCTAAGACCACCCCTCCCGCCGCCACAAGCCCCACCCACTGGGACCAGCCCCTCCCACTGGGATAAACCCCTCCCATCACAAGCCCCACCCACTGTGATAAGCCCCTCCTGCCACAAGCCCCACCCACTGGGACAAACCCCGCCCATTGCCACAAGCCCCACCCACTGGGACAAACCCCTCCCATCACAAGCCCCACCCACTGGGATAAGCCCCTCCCATCAACACAAGCCCCACCCCAGCTGGAAGCCCCGCCCCAAGACAAGCCCCACCAATGGAATAAGCCCCGCCCACAGTGATAAGATCCTCCCACCGTGGCAAGGCCCCATTCACTAGGATAAACCTTTCCCACCATGGCAAGCCCCACCCCAGCTTGAAGCCCCGCCCTGAGGCAAACCCTGCCTAGTTGGAAGCCCCGCCCCAATAAAAGCCATGTCCCCCCCCCCGCCAGCCCCGCCCCGCCAGCCCTCCCTGTTCAGCCCCGCCCCCGGCCAGCCCCGCCCCCCGGCCAGCCCCGCCCCTGTTCAGCCCCGCCCCCGGCCAGCCCCGCCCCTCCCCGGGCTCCGCTGCGCCCACCCGGCTCCTGGCGGCACAGAAGCGAACCCTGCCTCTCCCTGCGGGCCCTGCCTGTCAGCGGGCGGCTCACGCGGTGGCGACGCCGGCTATCAGCACCGCGATGCAGCAGATGAGCAGCCCCACCAAGCGGTTCCTCAGCATGCTCTCGGGCTGCGGGGGCTGCAGAGGTGGGGACGAGGACCCCGGGCCTGCCGGGACCGGGATGGGGATCGCCTCGCCTGCATTATCTTCCGTGTTGACCACGACGTTTGGCGGCTGCTCCTCCTCCTTGGCCTTCAGGGGCAGCACTGAGAGAGGAGGGGCAGAGTGGGAGGTACTGGCAGGTCACGCAGGTGCCACCCGAGGGCCCCGGTGCACCTGCCGTGTTACCCCAAGACAACCGCCTACACCTGCCGCGGCCATCCCCCCGCGGCCTGAAACCCCCACCTCCTCCCGGAGTGACCTCTCCTCGGCTCTGGCCATGCCCTGCCTCCAGAGGCGGATATCCCACCCCCAAGTGCCACTCTGCCCAACACCCTGGCACGGACCTGTGACTTGGAAATGTATGATGGTGGCTGGGCCCGAGTTCACAGTGCCCAGCTCACAGCGGTAACTGCCTGCATCTTCCGGACTCACCGACGGTTTGGTCAGGAAGGGCTCCTTCCCCTTGGCCAGCAGGGTCTCAGACTTGTTCACCCAAACCTAGACCCAAGATCAAGCGGTCACAGGGGCCTGGGGGATGCCGGGTGCGGGGCTGGGGGGAGTACAGGGAGAAGTCCGCAGGACCTCGGTGTTCGAGGGACGGGGAGAGGTCACTGTGGGCCACGCCAGGAGGTGCTGGATCACCGGGTCAGGAGGGACGTGAGTGCAGGACAGTGGGCCGAGGGTTCCTGGGGTTGCAGGGACCCGGAGGACGCCCACCCTGTAGAAGCTGTAGTCGGTGAGGCCTTGGGAAGCCTGATGCCAGGGGAGCTTGCAGTCCAGCATCATGTCTTCCAACAGGTGCACTTCGACCTTGCGCTCTGTGGACAGGAGCCCCGAGAGCTGCTCCTTCACGCCGTATCAGCACCCCACCACCCACCGCCTCCACCTTGTCCAGCTGCCTGGCTGCCCTCCGAGCCCTCTCGGTGGTCCGCGGCCGTCTCAGCCCCTGCAGCCCGGGCTGCTCACCCCCACAGTCCTTGGATTTGCGGCAAGGGTGAATCTTCTTCTTGCAGCTACTGCACCATATCATAACCTGTAACATGGTCCCTGCAGGGGCCAAGGTTAAGGTATGACCTTCCAGACAGGTGGGGGCACAAAGGGCTGTAGGGGTCGTCCCCTCCCTCCCCTCCCCGAAGCAGCTCTGTGAAACAGAACAGACTCAGCCCGCTACCCAAGGAGTCCTGGCCGGAACAAAGCCACACCCGTGGGGGACCACCTCTTCGGTGTGCACAGTGGAGCAACCGGGGACACCCCAAGAGAGGGCTGCGGGGAGGTAGGGATGAGGACTGGAGAGCCCACCTCCAGAATTCAGCTCACCACATTTGTTGGGACAATAAGCTGCCTCGGAAGGAAAAGAAGAGAAGCAGAGAGAAAAGAGAAATCAGATTTCTGAATTAAGGAGTGTGGGGTGAGGTTCGGGCTGCTGCGTTGCACAGGAGGAGGACCTGGGTCTGGGGGAGGAGAGCTGAGGGGCAGGCCTGGGTGGGGGGTAAACGGGGGGCTGTGGGTGGAGGGGGCACACCCTCACCACCCTCACCAGCCCTCACCCTCTTGTTGGAACTGTGCCGCCATGCGGACAAACTGCTCTTTTTGCTGCTGCACCATCCAGAACAGCTCCTTGACGAATAATTCACCTGCGAGGAAGAGCCCGCCCACTCGCAGGTGCACCTTGCAACAGTGCCCCCCTCTGGCACTGAGGTTGCCGAACAGGCATCTATATGCACTGAATTGTCACCCGGAAGGGCTGAAAGCCCCGCTAGGGGACCCCACGGTAGAGCCGAGGACACTGCGAAGCCTCTCGCTCAGGCACCGCACAGCTGGACTCCAATCCAGAGCCCGACCGCCGCTGAAGGCTTCACCACCAGCCCCCAGGCCCTCTGCGCCTTTACCTTTCACGTCGCTGTCTGTGATGCGTTTCAGATCTTTCAAGAAACTCCAAGCTACTTGGTCCAGGTAGTTCTCATCTGTTGGGGGGGCAGGCAGTGGATCCCCAAATTCCATCATTACTATCTCACTGGATTGGCCTCATGATAGAAACTACAACACCCATGATGCCACTGTTGCCTGTGATCCTATTGCCTTCTGGGAGTTGTAGTTTTAGTAATGATTTGGGAAGAGGAGTGGAAAACCAATATTTTATAGCTCCTTGGGGAACCCAGAAATACGCATTCCAGTGAGGAACCCTTGCCCCCCGGCCCTTCGGCTCCCAGACCCTGACCTCACCAAGGACACCCATGTAGGACTCCTCTTGAAAAGGTTGGTCCTCAAATTGCTTCAGGGCCTCATGGACCCTCTTCATTACATTCTTGTGATATTGAGTATCCAGATGGCTAGGCAGGTAATCGTTCTCCAGGGACTGTAGCGCCGCCTTCACCCTGTCGTCACAGGTGACACAGCCCCTGACAGCAAGCAGGCAGCCAGCCAGAGCTGCCCAGCGCAGGGCACAGCAGGGCCCCATGGCAGCCCAAGCATGCAGCCTGCAGACACCACGAGGCGGGGTCCTCTGCCCCTGAGCCAGGAGCAGGTGAGAGCTAAAAGGAGAAAGGCCAAAACCCAACTTTGGGGACCCCAAAGGCTCCCCTCTCCACCTACTCCCCAAACTGCAAAATTAAGGTCTTCCTGAAACCTCCTGTGTCCATCAAAATGCCTCCGGGCTGCGGCAATCTCCAAATCCAAGGGTACCCCAAAAGTTGGGATTCTCACAGCACCTCGCTTGCAACAGAGACCCTCCTCAAAGCCCCAGAACCCGACCTCACAGGGGCTCCCCAACTCCCCAAAGTTCAGCTGTCTCTCAAACTGAAAACGCAAGGCCTGAACCAAAGCACCTACCTCCCCTATCGGCAAACCTGAAACTACATGAACCAAAAACAGAAGACACCCCAAATCCGCACGCCTGGGGACCTTACAAAGACTGCAAGCTGTGGCCCAGACATCCACCCTTCCCCGAGACTAACAGATCCCCAAGTTGCAGGGCGCACCCTTCTCCTTAGCAAATAGCACCCTAAACAGCAGCTCCCCGTCTTGCGCCCCCAACACTGGTGGAGTTGGCAAGTTCGGAGGGCGTCTAACGCGGCGGCCAGAGCCGCGTCCTTCTGAAGCTCTAGCGTCCCCCACGCCGAGAAGCAAGGATGGTCTTGGCGAGGAGGCGAGCTTGTGGCCGGCAGCCTGAGCCACTTGTCTCTGCGCGCAGCTCCTGGGGTCGGGGCAGTTGCAGCTTCCCACGTGGGGGCTCTGATTCTCTAGAACATTCCCGGCCACCTGCCGCGGCGCCACCCAGAAGCGCAGCCCAGGGTCTGATTGGACGGCAACAAAGGGCGGTCCCGCCCATCCCTCCGTGACGCCACAGAGGCGGCTCTCTCTCAGGCTAGAATTTTTCCCAGATTCTGTGAAAGGTAACCTTACCTGTCAGAGCTTCCAGAGCCGGCAAGCTCTGGGCCCAGCGAGATGCCGGCTCACCCTTTGGAGGAACAACCAAGGCGTGGGAAGGAACCATTGCCTAGCATTTCTGGAAGGCCCAGGGGCTTTTCTCCATAGCACATCCACCCCCATAGCTTTATGGAAAATGTGGTTTAATTATCACTGTCTTCGCTCCATCCTCTCCCCAATCTGTGAGTCTGGACGCCAGAACTCATTAATAAGAAAGCTTGGAGGGAAGCGCAAAAAACTGGAACCTCAACTCTTTCTTGCCTCACCTTTTCCATATGATTCCAGCAGCAACTATCCAGTTAACCACAAGACCTCTGGAGTGATGGGAGACCCAGGAGGCCCGCACCCTTCCCTCCACTGTTCGTGTGTGTATGCGTTATTTTTTTTTTTTAAAGAATTGCTTATTTATTTTAAAGGCTGAGTTGCAAAAAGGCACAGAGAGGGGGAGAGAGAACTTTCATTTGTTGCTTCACTCCCCCCAAAAGGCCACAATGGCTGGGACTGGCTTGGGCGAGGCCAGAAGCCAGGAGCTTCTTCTGCGTCTTCCATGTGGGTGCTGGAGCTGGGAGCAGTAGGGCCAGCTTGTAGTGCTTTCCCAGATGCGTTAGCAGGCAGCTGGACTGCTACACACACGTGCACACACACACACACACACACACACACACATGCACGCACACACACACAGGTCCCTCCCCGAAACAGCTGCAAAGACAGGGCTTGGAACGCGGACTCTGAACCCACAGAAGCTGAGGGTGCCAGGCTCGTGGGAGTCCCTGAGAAGACAAGGCTTGGGCTGCTGGGATCAGCGGGAAGAGCAGGTGGCTGGAGAGGAGGACCGCGGCAGAGCTGTTTTGGGGCCGTCCTTCCCCCTGCAGACAGGGCTTCGGGGCTGGCCAGTCATGAACCCTGGCCCCATTGGCAGGATGCTGTGCCATGGCTGAGTTAAAGGCTGCGTTCTTCCCAACTTGTAAACATCTTCCTGGAAGCTGGCCAAAGCCGGAGCCCTTGCTTTGCTTCTGAGGCCTCAGGGTCCTGATGCCAGCCAGACCAGACCGGCTTGCCGCCAGCCACCCACATGCCTGCTGGTCTCCACAGCCCGCTGCCCGGGGCAGCCCAGCCTGGCAGCATGTGCTGCTCTAGTCTTTGGTTACGCACTTGCATTTTTTATGTTTTTGTTTTGAAGTGTCCTTGGGTCTCTGTTGTGGAAGCGCTGAGTTGCTGCTGCCACAGTGCACCTGTGCCAGGCCTGGTCAAGGGCAGGGACTGTGGGCACCAGCTCCACCCAGTACCCGACCACATCAGCTTTTTTTTTTTTTTTTTTTAATCCAGAGGCTGTGGACTGAGGGCAGGTGTGGTGAGGCCAGCTGCAGGGTTGGTTTTCTGAGACTTACCCTTTTTGGAGTGGTTGGGATAATTGGATTTGCATCAGATTCTTTGACCCTCTCTCTGGGGTTCCTTGTCCCCTTCTGGAAGGTTCTGTCTAGAATCATTGCAGACATCTGCCCAGGGACCTGGAACCTGCTGTCCTAGAACAGCTGCTGAGGTTTACCCTTCAGTCTTCTGAGGCCTCCCAGGGCTGGAGGGAGGAGGGCACCTCTAAACATCTCCCTCCACACTGGAAGGAAGGTCCCCCCATTCTGGTGGACGGCAATCTTCTCAAAGCCTTCCACATCTGGTCAAGGATGGATGAATGGCCCTCTGGCCTCAGGAACTGCCCTGGGCTGCTCCATGCATTGACAGCTATGGGGGCAAAGGGGAAGGCTCTGTTGGTCCTAGAATGTTCCCAGCCCCTGGTCTCCAGGCCCAGCTGTGGGTACACCCACCTGCTGCAGAAACCACATTCCAGGCCTCCAGAGGGACACACGGACCATGGGGCTAGAGAAGGCTGAGACTAACCCAGCCATCTCCCGAACCTCCAGGACTTGGACCTCTGGAGTGGAGACAGGTCGGCATTAATGCCTACCCACTCGGGCAAGAAGGCCGCCTCTGGCTTGAAGATTTTCAGGAAGTCCGAGTCCGGGAGGGTGAAGTTGGCCAGGTAGACCGTGTCCCCACCTGCCAAGTAGGCGGCCCAGAACCCGAATGTGCCCACGGTCATGATGGTGTGATTGCATTGGGTGAGCAGGGCGAAGTCCTTGGCGGGCGCCGCCTCCAGCCCGTCGCCCGCAAAGATCACATCGCCCCGCGAGGCGTCGATGTTCTCCCGGCACCATTTCATGCCGTTGCTGGTGATCACAAAAACTGGGGCCTCGTACCGCGCCCGAAACCAGTCCATGGCCTGCTGCAGGTAAGCACGGTCGCCCACCACACCTCTCCAGCGGTTGGGCATCACATGCAGGTAGTCCCCACGGCGCACGTGCACGCCCACGAAGGTGCTGGGGCGCGCCCCTGAGCGGCCCAGCTGCAGGCGGCTCAGCAGCCGCTGGGCCTCGACCCGGAGGTGCTCATGCAGCGTGAACTCGCTACGGATCCGCTCACGGAGGTGGTGGAAGAAGGTCCAGGAGCAGGGGAAGCCGGACAACTTGAGATAGGGCTCCCGCAGCTGCGAATACTCCTCCGACATCCAGTCGTGCAGCAGCAGGGGTTTCCAGGGCGTGCGGCTGTCCACCTCGGGGGCCAGCATGGGCAGGGTGATACGGAACATGGGCGCCAGCGTGGCGTGCATGGACGGCTGGATGAAGGCCTGGCGGCCGTTGAGCTGCGCCAGGGCCAGCAGGGTGGCGTACTGTCCCATCTGGTTGCCCAAGCGGCCATCGGGGTAGATGGTCCAGGTGCCCGAGAGGGACTCAGGCTGCGGGGCGTAGGAAGAGGAGGCGTTGGAGGAGGCGGCCGAGGATGGCGACGGGGCGCACGTCAGGCAGACCATGGCCACTGGGGAAGACAGCAGGTGGCTGCTGGGACACAGCAGCGACAGGTCCAAGCCCTTTCGCAAGAGGTCTTGGTGGAGTTGAAGGAGAAAGCCGAGCGCCGAGAGTCCACAGACTAGCCAGAAGCCGAAGCAGAGCTGCCGGCGGCTGGGCGGCCACATGGCTGCGAGGGAGGAAAACGGGTGAGCGGCGGCGGTGAAGGAGCCTGCGCGACCCAGCAAAAGAGGAAGGTGGAGGGTTCAGCCCGTACGCGTTGGGGTGGAGGAGAAAGGACGGAGGGGGCGCCCGGGGGCGGGGAAAAATGAATGGTTTCCGGCTGAGCGGCGGTCCAGGGCCTAGAAATCCCAGTGTTCCCACAGCGCGCCCAGGCTGCTCGATCAAGCGTACCTGTCCCAGAGAGGCGGCGTCCAGCATGGAGATGCTCAGAGGCCCCGGGCCAGGCGATGGATGTGTCGCTGCCCGGGGCGAGGCTGAGCGCACTCCGCGAGGAGCAGCCTGAAGCTGCGGCCCGGCTCGAGGCTTCTGTCACCTGAGCTCCGCGCGGTCGGACAGGTCCACAGCGCGCCTCTCGGCTGCCCGGGCTGCAGCCCTACCCGCCTCCGTGCCACCGCCGCGCCGCCGCCCCGGGACTGCGCTGCAAGAGCTCGGGCCGAGCAGGGCAAGGGCGCGGGGCAGGTGGCTGCAAGGCAGAGCCCCGCCCCGTACCTGGCGCCCCGCCCGCGCGCCCCGGGTCCCCGCTGCAACCCCAGTCCCGGCTCGCCCAGATCCCGTGCAACCTCGGCTCCGCGGCCCGGGCCGCAGCCGCATCCCGGGGCGCGCGGGGCGGCGGTGCTGGGCCCAGGAGTTCCGGCCCGTCGCTCTCCTCCGCCCGCCCATCCGGTGCCGGCGCTTACCTTCCGCCCAGCCCCGGCCGGCCGCCGGTCCGAGCTTGCCCGACTGCGGGGCGAGGACCGTAGACACCTGTTCTCGGCGGAGCGGGAGATGCTCCACCCTGGCGCCGAACCCGCCCGAGGGATGGGAACCGGTTTCCCGGACGGCGCTCGCAGCCCGAGCCATTCTTCTTGGGAAGCGCCGGGTCCTCCAGCGCCGCCTGGCTATCTTCCAACAAGCAGGGCGGGCACAGGCACGGCCACGGCGGGCACAGGCGCGGCCACGGCGGGTGCGGCCCACGGAGCCCCCAGAACCAAGCTGCATCCCCGCCCGCTCGGGCACTCTCACCTCCACCGACCCGACTGTACGTACCACTGACTCAGGAACCTGCAAGGCACCAGGCGCGTGGCCACCGCTTCCTCCAGACGCGCCTCCTCCCGCAGACCTGGGCGTCCAACCTCTCCCCCACCAGACTCAGGGGTCTCCTCCCTCACGCCCAGGGGTCCAGCCCAGACCCTCCTCCCTCACACAAGGGGTCCAGCCCAGCCCCTCCTCCCTCACACCCAGGGGTCCAGCCCAGACCCTCCTCCCTCACACCCAGGGGTCCAGCCCCTCCTCTCTCACACCCAGGGGTCCAGCTCCTCCTCCCTCACACCCAGGGGTCCAGCCCAGACCCTCCTCCCTCACACCCAGGGGTCCAGCCCCTCCTCCCTCACACCCAGGGGTCCAGCCCAGCCCCTCCTCCCTCACACCCAGGGGTCCAGCCCCTCCTCCCTCACACCCAGGGGTCCAGCCCCTCCTCCCTCACACACAGGGGTCCAGCCCAGCCCCTCCTCCCTCACACCCAGGGGTCCAGCCCAGACCCTCCTCCCTCACACCCAGGGGTCCAGCCCCTCCTCCCTCACCCAGGGGTCCAGCCCAGCCCCTCCTCCCTCACACCCAGGGGTCCCCAGCCCAGCCCCTCCTCCCTCACACCCAGGGGCCCAAGCTCGGCCCTCCTGCTATGGCAGTCACCTTGTCCACCTACCACGCCTGTCTGCTGCCCTCCGGAAGCCAAGCCCTCCTCACCCACTCCCCCATCCAGGGCGATCTTGGAACACCTGTCCTTGCCTGGAGTCATCTTTTCTGGTGAAAGAAACATGAGGATTGCATCAGCGAGGAGGGGACAACAAGAAAACACAGGGTCTGAGCTCGGGCACGGGGGTGTCGGTGAGGCTGTGGGGGGCCAGGAGCCCAGCAAGAGGTGCCCAGCACAGACGGCCAGCCAGGGATCCCTGCTTTGCTGCTGAGCCTGGATCTTCTGGAGTGGGTTCCCTGGGCATGCAGATGGGCCACAGAGAGCTATCTGGGGTGCAGTGTGCACCCACTGTGCCCCAGCCCCTCCTCCCTCACACCCAGGGGTCCAGCCCCTCCTCCCTCACTCCCAGGAATCCAGCCGAGGCCCTCTTCCCTCACACCCAGGGGTCCAGCCCAGACCCTCCTCCCTCACACCCAGGGGTCCAGCCCAGACCCTCCTTCCTCACTCCCAGGAATCCAGCCGAGGCCCTCTTCCCTCACACCCAGGGGTCCAGCCCAGTCCCTCCTCCTTCACACCCAGGGGTCCAGCCCCTCCTCCGTCACACCCAGGGGTCCAGCCCAGACCCTCCTCCTTCACCCCAGGGGTCCAGCCCAGCCCTTCCTCCCTCACACAAGGGGTCCAGCCCCTCCTCCCTCAGACTCACAGCAGCCCTCCTTTCCCTGGAGCCCTGAGGTATCAGGTCTTCCTCTCTCAGCCCCCCGAATCAGGCCACCAGCTGCAGGACCCCCTGGTTGCATCATCCCTTGTGGGCGGTCCCGGCCACCGTGGAATCCTGGCTCCTGCCAAGTGTGTCAAATAGCATGGATCAGGCCTGCGGAGGGTGACAGGGCGGGTCTAGCCGCTATAAATCCTGGAGCTTCTGTCCCGGTCCCAGGGGACAGGGCGCGCTGTTGGCCAGGACCCACACACACAAGGACCTAGGCCTAGCCCATCCTCACACCTCCCTCGCCCCAGGACCTGAGCCCTGGATCAGCAAAGACATGGACGGGCTCCAGCCTCCAGGGCTGCGGGTTCCCGTGCTGGCCGCCCTGCTTTTGGGAGTTGCCCAGGCACACCCCATCCCTGATTCTAGCCCTCTCCTCCAATTCGGGGGCCAGGTCCGGCAGAGGCACCTCTACACAGATGACGCCCAGGAATCGGAAGTACATCTAGAGATCCGGGCAGACGGCACCGTGGCGGGGACTGCCCACCGGAGCCCTGAAAGTGAGTGTGGAGGGCACAGGTATGTGCCGGGGAGGGGCCCCCAACCCACAGGCCTGACCCAGCTCTCTCCATGCAGGTCTCTTAGAAATGAAAGCCTTGAAGCCAGGCGTCATTCAGATCCTGGGGGTCCAGACATCCAGGTTCCTGTGCCAGAGGCCGGACGGGACGCTGTACGGCTCGGTGAGGCTCCGGGCGTCACCCTCACGGCCTGGGCCGCCATCAGGGTCTGCGTCTGAACCCTGAGCTCACCCTGACCTCACACAACCCCTACTGGCCGGTGCTGTCGCCATGGCCGCTGTGACGCGAGGAGACAGGCCTGCAGGGGTCCGAGCGGCCATGTCTCATGACGTGGAAACCTCTGCTCCCAGCCCCATGGGCTCGTGTGTGTTTGGCTCCTGCCAGGCGTGGGACGCTCAGGGAACCTCTGGCCTGTAAAGTGACCATGACCTTGGGTGCCATCTAGACCCTCACTTGGCTAACCTGAGAGGAACTTGACGACTTGCCCCTGAGCTGGAGTGATCTCTGGGGACAGGGCAGGGGGCAGGCCCCGGGGTTAAGGAAGCCTTTATATGGGGGCTTAGACCTCTGGGTGTGAGGGAGGAGGGGCTGGTCCCCTGGGTGTGAGGGAGGAGGGGCTGGACCCCTGGGTGTGAGGGAGGAGGGGCTGGACCCCTGGGTGAGGGAGGAGGGGCTGGGCTGGACCCCCGGGTGTGAGGGAGGAAGGGCTGGGCTGGACCCCTGGGTGTGAGGGAGGAGGGGCTGGGCTGGACCCCTGGGTGTGAGGGAGGAAGGCTGGCTGGACCCCGGTGTGAGGGAGGAGGGCTGGACCCCTGGGTGTGAGGGAGGAAGGGCTGGGCTGGACCCCCAGGTGTGAGGGAGGAGGGTCTGGGCTGGACCCCTGGGTGTGAGGGAGGAGGGCTGGACCCTGGTGTGGGAGGAGGGCTGGGCTGGACCCCTGGGTGTGAGGAGGAGGGGCTGGACCCCGGGTGAGGGAGGAGGGCTGGTCCCCTGGGTGTGAGGGAGGAAGGGCTGGGCTGGACCCCTGGTGTGAGGGAGGAGGGCCTGGACCCCTGGGTGTGAGGGAGGAGGGTCTGGGCTGGACCCCTGGGTGTGAGGGAGGAGGGGCTGGTCCCCTGGGTGTGAGGGAGGAGGGTCTGGGCTGGACCCCTGGGTGTGAGGGAGGAGGGGCTGGTCCCCTGGGTGTGAGGGAGGAGGGTCTGGGCTGGACCCCTGGGTGTGAGGGAGGAAGGGCTGGGCTGGACCCCTGGGTGTGAGGGAGGAGGGGCTGGACCAACCATGGGGACCTCAGGGGACACCCCCTGATTCCTGTTCCTCTGCCCGCAGCTCCACTTCGACCCCAAGGGCTGCAGCTTCCGGGAGCAGCTGCTGGAGGACGGATACAACGTGTACCACTCGGAGGCACACGGCCTCCCCCTGCGCCTGTCTGCCAGAGACCGAGCCCCCCGGGGCCCAGCCCGCTTCCTGCCACTGCCAGGCCTGCCTCCTGACCTCCTGGTGCCACCCCTGCCACCGGACGTCCTAGCCCCTGAGCCCCCCGACGTGGACTCCCCAGACCCCCTGAGCATGGTGGGGCCCTTGCTGGGCCAAAGCCCCAGCTACACTTCCTGAGGCTGCCACCGCTCACAGCCTACCGATGGGTCTTCTGTTTATTTATTGAGGTATTTATCTTATTTATTTTTTTTCTTACTTGGTTTAATAAAGATACCGTGTGAATGTCTCTAAGAGGATGTGTGTCTGCCTCTCTCTCTTCCCCTGACCCCACCGCCACCTGCTCCCATCCCCCATCTGTCTCAGGCCTGCCCCTGGGCCTCAGTTTTTTTGAAATTCTCAGCAGGCATAGATACTGTTCTTGATCTTCAAGAGGGCAAGATTTTAGGAAAAAATAGAAAGAGAGAGAGAAAGAGAAGGCAGGATTTCTTAGTCATCCGGGTCCTACCCTTTTGTGAGCACTGTTGAACTGGGGTCATTTAACAGTGGTGCAGCAGCCCCACAGGCTCATGGGAGATGTAGTTTTTGCACATGTCCAGCTGTGGTGTGTGGGTGCTGGGTAAGAGTTCCCTGACTCGGTATCACAACTGAGCGAGCAAGGCCGCCTGGTCTCCCTGCCTGCCCACTGTAGAGATTTCTAGGGTGTTCTGGTCATTTCCGAGGATGGAAGCCATTGAATGACACCTACAGGGTGGGTCTTGGCGTTTCCATCAAGAGTCAAGTGAGGGGATTATTTCTGACAAGAGAGGTGTGGGGTGTGTGCTAACGTTTCTTGGGGCCCACATCCCTTTCTGGGGTGTCTTGGTTCCAGTCCTGACCCTTGTACTTGCCCCTCAGCTTCCTGCTCACCTGCATTGCTAGGAGTCAGTAAGTGACCGCTCAGGGGCGTGGGTCCTGGGGTTGTGTCTCACTCTAGCTAAGTGAACCAGCCGGCGGGACATGTCCCTGCGTCTCTCTGCCACTCGCACATGTCAGAGTCCCAGCTGCTCTGCTTCTGAGCCAGCGCCCTGCCCAGGCCCTTGGACGCGCAGCAGAGGACCGCTCAGGGGCTGGATGCCGCGCCAGGCTCCCGGCCGGCCGGGCCCTGCCCTGGCCATTGCAGCCATTGGGAAGTGAACCACTGAATGGAGAACTCTCTCTTTTTAACCTTCTCTCTGTAAATTTGCCTTTCAAATAAGTGAATCTTTAAAAAAATTTAAACAGTACTCAAAAGAAGGCCCCACGTGGGATGTCTGTCTCCGGCATCAGAGTGCTGGGCTCTGATTCCCAACTTCAACCCTAACTCTACCATCCTGCTCACTGGCACCAGGCGGGCAGCAGACGCTGGTGCAAGTACTTGGGTTCCTGGGCCAGGACCGTGATATGCCTGTGGGGCTGGCATCCCGTGCAGGTCCCAGCTGGGTTTCCAGCTGCTCCACGCGCGATCCAGCTCCCTGCTAGTGGGTCTGGGAAGACAAGAGATGGGATCATGCACCCATGTGGGAGGCCTGGAAGAAGCTCCGGACTCCAGGCTTCAGGCTGGCCCAGCTCTGGCTGGGCATGCGGAAAGTGAACCAACTAATGGAGGCTCTCCCTCTGTGTGTGTAACGCTGCCTTTCAAATAAATAAATAAATCTTACACACACACACACACACACAAATATTTGGGTTCCTGCTGCCCACGTGGGAGACCTGGGTGGAGCTCCTGGCTCCAGCCTGGCCCAGCCCTGGCTGGTGCAGTCACTCAGGGGGTGAACCCCTTAGATGGGAGAGCTTTCTGCTTTCCAAAAACTTAAGTAAATAAACAAGCTGTGGGTCGCAGAGGGTCATGGGAGAGACCCAAGGTCCAGAAACGAAAGTGTGCAGACCAAGCGGTTTCACACTCCTGCAGGGCAAACCAGATGCAGCATCTTAGAGACCACAGCCACGGGGTGCTCACAGCCACGGGATGCCCACGCCCACGGGGTACTCATGGCCACGGGGTGCCCACAGCCGTGGGGTGCCCACAGCCAGAGGATGCCACAGCCGTGGAGTGCCCACAGTCATGGGGTGCCCAGAAGGAGAGTTTCAAGTCCCAGGGGAGACATATGAGGCAGAGCCCATCACTCGCAGCCCCTCCTGCCTGCCACCTCCCTCCATCCTGCCTCTTACCTCCCAGGAAGGGGAGCCGCCTACAACAGGGGCCCCTCCCTCCCGGTAAGGCGTGTTCATAATCCCAGGAACTGTTGGACCCTCCTCACCGCTTGACAAGCACCCCTTTAAAGCTAGATAACTAAGCACCTTCCGTCCCTAGACCCCAGTGCATTTTGGTTCCAGCTCATCTCCTCCATTCAGATGCAGCCTCCAAGTCCATGAGCCCGAATCTTGAGGGCCAGCATGTGGCATAGCAAGTAATGCAATGCCAGCTTCCCATATGGATCTTGGTTCAAATCCCAGCTACTCCACCTCCAATCCAGTGTCCTGCTAATAGCCTGGGGAAACAGTGGAGAAAGGCCCAAGACTGGGCCTCTGTACCCACATGGGAGACCTGGAAGAAGCTCCTGGCTCCTGGCTTCTGCCTGGCCCAGCCCTGGCCATTACACCCATCTTGGGAATAAATTGGCAGATAAAAGATATCTCTCTTTGTAACTCCTCCAAATGCATAAGCAAAAGTTTAAAATGAGCATGATGAAGCCATGCCAGGACCCCGCCCCTCCTAGCTGGGTTGGAAGCCCAGTCCAGCTCCTCACTTTGGCCAACAAAAGAGGCAGCGACTGGGGGCCCAGTGCCCGGGGGCCCAGTGCCTGGGCCCTGCCACCTGGCCCGGAAGACCCAGCTGGAGTTCTCGGTTTCTGGCTTCCACCTGAACCAAGCCCAACTGTTGTGCACATTTCAGCCAGCCGAGCGCTCTCTTTGGGGCCATCGCAATAGCTGAACAGGCTAATCGTCTACCTGCAAGTGCCAGCATCCCATATGGGCTAGGTTCGTGTCCTGGCTGCTCCACTTCCCATCCAGCTTCCTGTTCATGGCCTGGGAAAGCAGTGGAAGATGACTCAAAGCCCTGGGACCCTATACCCACGTGGGCGATCTGGAAGAAGTTCCTGGCTCCTGGCTTCAGATTGGCTCAGCTCCAGACATTGCAGCCATTTGGGGAGTGAATCCACAGACGGAAGATTTGTCTCTCTATCTCTCCTCTCTATAAATCTGCCTTGAATTTCAAACAAACAAAATTTCTTTAAAAAAGAATCTCTGTGTCTTTCAAATAAAAAATGAATATTTGGGGTTGATACAAACTAGAACTAAAAGGTACAATTTATTTAAAAGGGAGACCTGAAAAAGAATGAAGGAAGAAAGTGAAGGAAGGGGTTAAGCAGAGGGCAGAGGAGTTGGTGCAGCCCCGTGTGACTCGGAACAGAGCATCGCTGGAGCCATCCAAAGGGCTTCTGGAAGCTTCTCTGGGGTGAATGAGCCTCTAATTCAAGGCCATAAAACAGAGGACACTCCGGCATGCGGCGCGTGGAATAGCAAATCCACCCAGCACTCCGCTAGGCTGATTTGCCTAAGACCTCCAGGACCAGCTCAGGGTCTCGGGTCGGCCAGATGCGAGCGAGCAGGGCATTTTCCTAGAAAAATAATGATCCAACAGCTGTACCCAAAAGGTCACCAGCAGAGCCGTCTCCCTGTAGGGAGGACACATTCCCACACTCTGGCAGCACTGGGTTCCCGGTGAAACCCCACAGCTGTCCCCACCCTCCAGGCCCCAGGCTGGATTTCCCAGCACCTCTGTGCATCTGTCCAGCTGTTATATGTGCATGACCTGGAAGATTCACAAATGTTTGCTTTTTTTGTTAATGATCTATTAATTTTGAAACAATCAACTTTCTTTTGCACAACTAAAAATAGCAAGTCATGCGTGTCAGCGTCGTGTTTGCAAAGTTGGGCAATGACCTCACCACGTGTCTGCTACCCCCGACTCCAGCCTGGAACACAGACATGCAGCCGGCCCCTACGGCCCCTACTCATGTGTTCTGCAGGCTGGAGTGCCAGGCAAGGACAGATGATAGGGGCCCTGTGGTGACTGAGCCACTTCCTTCTGCAGATAAACACCACACAAGCGCCAGAAAGCTCACACAAAACCGGAATGAAAAGATAAGCCCATCTGAATACAAAAAAAAAAAGTTGAAAATTTGACCCAGCGCAGTAGCCTAGTGGCTAAAGTCTTCATCTTGCACGATCTGGGATCCCATATGAATGCCAGCTCATATCCTGGCTGCTCTGCTTCCCATCCAGCTCCCTGCTTGTGGCCTGGGAAAGCAGTGGAGGACGGCCCAAAGCCTTGGGACCCTGCACCCGCGTGGGAGACCTGGAGGAAGCTCCTGGCTTCAGATCAGCTCAGCTGCAGCCGTTGCAGCCACTTGGGGAGTGAACCAGTAGACAGAAAAATCTTTCTCTCTGTCTTTCCTCTCAATAAATATACCTTTTCAATAAACATAAATCTTTAAAAGAAAAAATTACCACAGAAACCACTTGCTTTAAAGTAGGAACGTTTATTTATGTAAGGGCTATTTATTTCAGTTATTCACTCCTGAAATGGCTGCAATGACTAAAGCTGAGCCGATCCGACGCCAGGAGCCAGGATCCTCCTCTGGGTCTCCCACGCGGGTGCGGGGTCCCAAGGCTTTGGGCCGTCCATCCTCCACCGCTTTCCCAGGCCGCAGGCAGGGAGCTGGATGGCAAGTGGGGCTGCTGGGACTGGAACTGGTGTCCATAGGTTGAAGTTTAAGTCTCTGTGGCACAGTGCCATCCTCTTTCCTGGCATTTCCAACCACAGATTTGTAAGGATAATGTCCAATTCCAACCCCCACCCCCCTTTGGTCCCTTCGCGTAGCCGCACACGGGGCTCTCACGGTGAGATACGTGACTTGCGTTGTCCACGTTGATGGATCAGCGCGGCTGTATGGGCCCAGCCGGAGACCCACACTGACGCCCGCCCTGGACCCCCATTCCCACACCAGGCAGGGCAGGGCCCAAGGAAAGCGCCTGGCTTTCTGCCCCGTCTGGCATGCCTGCCGTCTTGGTGGGGTTGGCATTGAATGAACAAAGGTTTCCCCACACCCAGCTAGGGAGGTACCTGCCCGTTGACCCAGCTCCCCGGGAACTCGGTGACCCGCTAGCTGTTTGTTCAGCAGATCAGGTGCTCCACT